TCTATTCTCTGATGGCTCTTCCCCTTTATTCTGCCTTCCCTTTTTGCTCTGCAAAACAGCATACCCTGGGCATTTGGGGGTGGGTTATAAAATGGAAGTTTACCTGCTCATTCCCAAGAGTGAGCATGTTTCTCTGAAAGTGCTTATCTAGTTTTCTGTCTTCTTTGGAGGGGTGTGTGTGTGTGTGTGTGTGTGTGCGCGTGCGCGCGCGCACACACACACACACACACACACACTCTGGGAATAGATGAGGTTGGGCAAATGTTGACCTCCTGTGCTGAGTGCAGAGTTAGGCTATATGGTTTGGGGTTGAATGCCTCTGGGTAGTATTTCTACTATGTCTTTAGATTGGGTACCAGGTTCACTTGTGTTTGAGGTCTTCTTCTGAGTATCCTCTGTGTGTTTGTCTTGGTGAATGTATAGTAGTGGCTGTGTCTTCTGAGTTTATTGCTCTTCTGTTCCCTTTCTCATGTGCAAACTTTTAGTGAGCCTCACCCCTTTGTGTATGACAGGCTGTGCACTTCAGATCTGTGGGTGCTAGTGTTGTTTTACACAGATGTAGGTTTCTATTGCAGTGTGCATTTGGATAGCTCTGTAGCAGGGCATGATTGTGAGGTTGGACAGGTTTGTGTGTGCATCCATGCCACTTTGGAGTGTACACACCCTGGGGAAGAGACCTGGAAAGAAGAAAGAGAATGAAGGACTCTTGTGTTTGTGTCTGAGGACTAATGTAAAATATGCAAAGGGTAAAGCAGAAAGACAGACCTTGTGCTGTGTAGGAAAGGAGATCTATGAGTGTTAGGAAATTGCTCCAGGGGCAGGTGAATGTAAGGAAAAGACTGTGTTTGTGCCGAAATGGCTTGGGGGTGAGGTGTGAGTGTGTGCGTGTGTGTGGCGTTGCCTCTGTGTCCCCAGGCTGTGCCTGCCCCCTCCCTCCAAGCCCCGCCCGCCCAGCGGAGCTCAATCAGCCACTGCATGAATACACTCGAATGGAAAGTTGTGCTCAGCTGACCGGAGAAATTGGAGCCGGGCTAGTACTGCTCCCCTCCTCCCTGGCTCCCTCCCACCATCCCCCTCCCTCCCTGGGGCCAGACGGCCACCCCAGCCAGCACACTGGGGCCTGGAGGCTCAGCTCAGCTGGGACCGGAAAGGGCTTCGACAGTGGAAGCTGAGGGGGTCTGAAAGTGAGGATCTGTGGCCCAGGGTCTCCGMTTTAGTGCTTGGGGTGGAAGAGACAAGGGGAGGGCCCATGAAAACCTTGAGGTGGCTGCCGGTGTTCCAGGTGACAGCCACACAAAGGCCTAGGCAGGATGAGAGGGCCCAGAGGCAGAAGACTGGGACGAGTGATTGGGACGTTCACGCGTCCAAGGTGCCATAGGACTGAAGCTAGGCTGCAAGCTGCCGCGATCCTGGTGATGTGCTGTTTCCAGAATGTGCCAGGGTGTTCCATTCTCCCTCCTCTCAGCCCGCCTCCACAGCCCACACTAGGGTTCACCACCATCCTAGGTGTGCCTAGGCCTGAGTCTGGTCTACTCAGTGCCTCGCCAGTGCTAGGTGCCTGTCCAAAGTCTGGCCACCCCTGCTTAGTGCCACTGCCTCTRACACCAATCCCAGCCCCGACCTGCCAGGCTCAAGGGCCTCTAGCCACACTATCGATCGGCATCCCAGCCCTGCGCCATGGCAGCTTCCGGGTCATTTCATTTTAATCAGTTGCCCCGTCTCTCTGGGGATAATCAACTGTGTTGGCACTGGGCAGTCGATTCCGCAGGATTTGAGAAGGGCAAAAAGAGGAGCCTGGTGGAGGCTCTGGGCTGGGGCCAGGGGCGGGAAGGGCAAGGTAGGGGGAGAGGTGAGCAGACCGGGAGTAGATTGGCCCATCTTTCCTCAGGAAGCTTCTAGAGGTCAAGTCTTTGATACAGTTTTGTTTTGTTTTGTTTTGTTTTGTTTTTGTTTTCAGTTTCACACCCCAAGAGCCCTTTGGATTTCAGATGCAAATCCTGGATTGCCATTGTTTTTCTTTGAGGGAGCCCAGGAAGAAAACATCGCTAAGTCGCCAAGTGGTTTGATATTCTTAAAACTCCTTGCACCCTAAAGTAAGTGGCCCAGGTACTAAACACACTGCAGAAGGTTGGAAGGTTGGAAATATTGTGGGGTTGGGCACCGGGCGGAAGTGCACAGTGCTCAGTGCACAGTGTTAAGTCCGAAACTTGGATACCAGGAGAGGAGCCAGTTCGAAGGCTGCTATGCGGCCCAGAAAGAGGGGACTGATGGTTAACGCTTTAGGCCACCTTATCTGGCCTGATCCAGGCCCATGAGGCCCATGCCAGCGCTCACACACACCAATGCACACACTCCACTGGCCCAGATACAATCTGCAACGTTCCTAGGAGGTAGGGGGGTGAGGTGGCTGCGCACAAGGTGGAGTGGCTTCTTCCAAGCAGTACTTCAGCCAGGTCTTGCCCTGGAGTTCTGCCTCTGCAGCCTCTGAGGCTTGGACTGCTTTGGCCATGGCTTTGGACAACCCGAAAAGAAAATGGGCAGGCAGCTGGCAAAAAGAGAGATCTGGCCAGAAAAGGGTCTCTTTCTCCTCACTCCTATGTTTAAAGAGGCAGAGGCCAAATCCACAGCAATATTTGCAGTCTATTAATGTAAAGGGTAAACTAAGAAAACCCACCCCCTTTTCCCTCCAGACAATGAATACCTATTGTGACACCCCATTTCTTAAAGGGAAAGGAAGACCTGTTAGGGATGGGCAGCTTGGTGGTCTTATCTGCAGATTGACTAAGAACAAGGAAACTCACACATGTCTGCAAGAGAACCAAGACCCACAAGGACACTGCACAGAAAGTCCTTGAACATGCAGCATCCTCTAGGTGTATTGGGGTCACCCTAATACTCCTTGCAGAAGTAGGCATATATAAACCGCTCAAACCATAAACAAGTATTGTATATTCCATGCAATTTACATGAAAACTAGACACATACCGATGCTCTCTCTATAYGTGCACTTTTACCAAACATCATACACACCTTCTTTTGTATACAAACCTTGATTATGTGTTGAAAGCCCCACATTCAGAATTGCACATTTATATACTGCCCTCGACAAGCACTCCTGTTCTTCCTGCAGGGGACTTGTAGGTAAGGTCAGAAAGTGCAGAGAGTAGAATATTGGTATTTGTGCAGACCTGGGTAGAGATATAGGGAATGAGAGAAGCAATACGTGATAGCAAGCCAGACAGATAGGCAAGAGGCTGGTGACATCCAACAGCRACCAGGCCTTCCAAGCTGAAGGTTGCTATGGAATCTGATAACCTGCTTTCTTCAGTGGAGAAGGAGTGGGCACTGATGTCCCAAGTCAGCTTTTTCTGTCAGGTTATGTTGACAGAAAGAAGCATACATAACTCCTAAGTTTGTCCCCTGACCCAACAAAAATGCACCTGCCCCTGGTATCACCAGGCTGGGGCCTTCAAATCTACCCTCCCTCAATGCCCTACCCCTTTCCATCATTTCTGGTTAGTTGGCTGCTCAGACCCTCCATACTGAGGCAGCCACTTCTCTGGGGTTCCAGGCCCAAGTTTTGGGTCAAGAATGTGACTACCTATTTAAAAAGAAAAATAAGTAACAGAACCCCTCGTCCATGAGCTAAGGATCAAGGCAGGTAGAATCCAGGGGATTCCTTTCCCAAACTCCTATTATCTGGGTCAATATTTCCTGAAACATAGCTGCAGGGGGAACATTTTCTTAGACAGTGAACACATGAAGATTCTGATGCTGTGAGCCAGGCCACAGAAGTTGGAGGCTCTGGATGTCCACTGGATCCCCTGGTTCTAAGAAGGGACCCCCACAGGAACCCTGATTGCCATTGACGAGCAGGCCTCTTGCTACCCAGTGTACCTTCAGACAAGGCAGCCACTCTGCCCAGCCTGGTCCACATAAACTCCCTTGGCACTGCTCAGGATGAAAGCAAAAGGAAATGGGAAGTCAAAATTAGTTTGGAAACTGCAGGCCAAATTCCAAGCACGTCTCACTCTAATTCTCCTTGCTTTGGAAATTGGACTTTCAAAGTGAAGGACAACTTTTCTGAAATTACTTCTTCAGCTCCTCCTTGGGCCCAGTCCGCCCTGCCCTGCAGCGGCAGAGCCACAGTCAGCCACACTATCCCTGGGATCTGTGGGGCCCCTGCACCAGGCAGGGAGGCCTGGGACCAGCAGGAACAAGAGTCTGTGGTTTCCCCCACTCCCTGGCTTTTGTTTTAAAGTGTAAACCAATTCTGAAATGTCTTAGGGGCTGGAGGAACTGATCCCAAAAGATGGGAAGAGATTTCAGGAAGAAAGATCAAGAGCCATAAGGCAAGTCACACGGTCACACACACACACACACACACACACACACACACACACACACACTGTTCAGGGGCCAATCCTGATTCTAGGTCCTAAACTCGGGAAAATTCCCAGCTCTCTAGCTCCCATATATTTCTCACCGGGACCGCAGTACCAACCCACCCAATACCACCCCCACCCCCACCACACACACAAAAAAAGTTTTTTGTTTTTTTTTTTTTAAAGGAAGACCAAACCTGTCACCTCCAAGATCGCTGAGGATGCATGCTTGGGTTTGGCAACCTTGTGCGTTTTTCCTTTTAAAAAGCAAAGCGACAACAACCAAAAGATGCCCAAAGCACCCCAAGGGCCTCGGCAGGTTAAAATTCCCAGATAAAAACGCTCCTGGGCGGACCTGAGCCTGGCATCTCGCGGAAGAAACTGGCTGTGGTAGCCCCCTCCACCCCGTGTCCTCTCAGCCTTTTCGCTGAAGATTCCTTTGAGCCCCTCGTCAGAAGGCCACGATCCAGCCTTTCCACCCAACTCCCAGCCAAGCTCAGACCAAGCTTGGAAATCCTGCCCCAGCTCTGGTGGTCCACCGAACCCGAGGAGAGCCAAGGCTGGGCCGCTGCACCCTGGGGCTGCGGGCCAGGGGCGGATAAAAACACCAGTCTCTGGGAGTGATAAGAAAATGGAGAATACTGTATTTGCTTATAGAAAGTTTTTACATATAGATAAACACGCAGTTAAGATAACAGTAAAAGCGCCCTACGGGGAGTGAGAGATACCTCCAAAGCAGCTAAGAAATACTTGAAATAGCTTTTGCATAAGAATACTACGGTCTCACTCTCCGCTTTAGCTAGCGCCGGGGTCCCTCTTCCTAACCCAGGCCACCACGCCTTGCCTGGAGTACCAAGTCGACGCCAGGAACACTGAGTGGGAGGGGGACACCCCCAAAAGGAAAGAGACAGGTGAGCGGGGTGGGAGGAAGAAAGGAGGGAGAAAGAGAGAAAGAAAGGGAGAGGAGAAAAAGCAATATCATATACAGGCAATTTCTACACATATATTACAAACTGGGAAAATGACCGATCATTAAGATATACATAATTCATATAAAATTTTGAAATAAAAATAAAAATCTGTTACAGTCATAACTATTCTTTTTCCACATTTATAACCAGTACCCACACAGGCAGTGACAGAGTAGAGAGAAAAAAGGTGCTTACGAAAATGATTGTCTGCTGAACAAAAAACAGAAGATTGCATCTTGTTTGACCAATACTTGGACTTAAAAACAGAGAGAAGAAAGAGAAAGAAAGAGAGCAAGAGAGGAAAAAAGAGAGAGAGCGCAACAAAAGGCGAGAAACATTTGCTATTTCTCTCTCCAGGAGTTCTTTTTTTTTTTCTTTTTCTTTCTTTCTTTTTTTAAACAAATTCGGAGCGGAGATGGTAGATTTTTTTTTTCCTTTTTTTGTCTGTTTTGCTTTTGTCGTCTTGTCGTCGTGGTGGTGGTGGTTTTTGTATAGTCGACTCTTTAAATCATTTTAAACTAGAGAGAATATTTTCCCAGATACAAATAAATCGTCATGCAGGTGGGGTGCCGGGTCCGTGGGAACCAAAAGGAGAAGCCGTGCTTGTCCTAGAAAGTATACAATTGTCACCTCTTTTATGTTTTCTGCCCGCAACATCAGCGTTTGTGACTGTCTGTTGGCGTCGAGGTCCTTTGGGTTGGCCGTGGTGGTAGATGGTGGTTTGGGATTTTTGATGGTTTGCGGTTAATTTGTTATTTTTCTTGATTTTTATATATTTTTGGCTGGGGTGGGAGTGTGTATGGACTTATGTGTGTGTATGGTTGTGTATCCTGATTTCGGTTTGTTCTGGGGATGGAGGAGGAAGAGGAGGAAGAGGAGGAGGGCTAGGAGGAGGAGGGGAAAGAGGAGGGGAAGGAGGGGGTGGGAGGAGGAGGGCAGCCTTGGCTATCATACATCACATTCCGAGTCGCTGGAGGTTACCGAGAGGATGGAGGTGCCGGTGTCCGCGCGCTCCGTCAGGCTGGACACACTGGTGGTGGGGCTGGCCGCCGTGGACGGCGACTCTGCCGAGCCGTGCGTGGGGCAGCCGGGTTCGGCCAGCGAGCGCATGCCGCTGGGTCCGATGGCCTGGTGCTGGAGCCTGCGGGAGARAGAAAGCCGTGCTCGCGCTAACACAACGGCCCGCCAGCCGGTTGCCCGGCGCTGCAGGGAGCCGGGCCTGCAGCCGCCCGCGCTCCCAGGCCTTCCCCCATCCAGTGACCCTATCCGCCTCCCCCGACTGCGCTCTCTGCGCTCATCCCTTCAACGCACCCAGCTACTCCTTGGGCGCTGAAGAGACTCCCCAGCCCGAGTCTTGGCTCTTGGCTCCCTTCCCCAGGGAAGCTTCCCAAAGCTTCCCAGATAGGGACCGGACTCAGGAGAGGTAGAACCAGAGGCCGGCCGCCTGGGGTGGCCTGGGCACGCAGCAAAGGACGACGATCCCTGAAGGAGCAGAAGTCAGGAGGAACAGAGAGCTTCTTCCTCCCCAGCCCCAGGGCCTCTTCAGACTGAACCAGCTGCCTGGAGAGCGTGGGGTCCTCATAGTGCCTCCTGCTCCGGCTCCCCCAAACACACACCCAGAGCCGCGGGTTTCTCACCCGCCGCCTCTCCCGGGTTAGGACCCGCCGCCTTTGCTTTCTGGATCCCTGCACAGAGCGCAGGATCCGGGGAAGACAAAAATGGGGAAGTTGGGAGCTAAAAGTGGGAAAAAAGGAGGGAGAGAGARAAAGGAGGAAGAAGAAGGCAGGAGAGAAGCACAGAGCAGGATCTGGCTGCCTCTTTCCCGAGCTAGGAACCGGCTGCCTGAACCTAGAGTCTCTGTGTTCTCCCCATAAGGAGGCCTTGCCTGGCCCTGGGCGCTTCCCCCATCGGGCGAAAAGTGGGCTGCGTAGGCAGGGCTGAGAGGACCTTRGGCTCAGGCAGGGGCTAGCTAAATYACAACACACTCCAGGAACTCACTCTCAGCCTGCAGTCACCAGCAGCTGCCAGTAGCTGATGGTCCTGCTCCTTGTATTATAGTAGGCCCTGCGACTTTCAGGCTAAGTAGGGAGGCAAGCTCGACATCAGGGCTTTCACCCACTTCCTCCTTTCTGTCTCCCTTCTTTCCCATCTCCACACCCCCCTTCCTCTAGTTCTTTTTCTCCTTTACTTCCTCCTAAACCTGCTCCGCTGACCGTCAAACCCAGTATATAACTTTGTGACTTAGTGACCAACTTGCCAGCAGCATGGCTGTTCCTGTCGGCTTCCCAAGTTAAAAGACCAAAGGGATGCTCCTGGGCTGGGGAATGAAAGCAAGGATATGCACGCGCACGCGCGAGCGCGAACACACTCACTAGGCCTCTGCAGTCCCCCAGCCCGACTCTCCTGCTCCGGACCCACAAACTGTAGTGTTGCCAGAAGACGGCCCTCAGCACGGTGGCCTTTCCCCTTTGTGGCAGGGACCTAGGTTCATTCTCCTTTCCCTGACATTCGTGGATTTCTCTTGGATTTTTTGCAATGCATGGAATTAAGGACCAGATAACATGGAGTGTTTTCCTTCTTTCTCTGTCTCGGCCCAGAGGAGCGCCTAGCTGGGGTCGGGCAGAGGAGATGGGCCGGTGCAAAGCTCCGCTAATGGTCCCAGGGGCAGGGACCAGGGCTGTGGGCACTCGGGGTCGCACKCACTCGCTCTCCGCGCTGACCAAAGCCCTTCTCCGGCAAAGCAGTCAATAAACCCACAGCCCGCCCCTCTTCCGCGCGCCAGGGGCAAGCGGAAACTTTCTCCAACTGGCCAGAGAGACGCGGCTTCTCCGGAGCTCGGCGGCCTCCCCTACCTTGCCCCCCTTGCCGGCATTTCAACCCCTGACTCCTTCCCCGGCTCCAGAGGCTATAGCCAGGCCGCGGACCCCGCCACTGACCTGTTCTTGGCCGCTGCGGCGCGGTCGCGCTGCCGCCGGTTCTTAAACCAGTTGCCTACTTGTGTGGGAGTGAGGCCGGTGGCCTGCGCCAGTTCGCGTTTCTTGCTGGGGTTGGGGTAGGGGTCCTGCAGGTACCACTCCCGCAGCAGGCTCCGAGTCCGCTCCTTGAAGCAATGCGTCTTCTGCTCGCCGTCCCAGATGGTGCGCGGCAGCGGGAACTTCTTGCGCACGCGGTACTTGTCCACCGGGCCGAGTGGGCGGCCGCGCAGCTTCTCGGCCTCCTGGTAGTGAGCCTCGAGCCACATGGCCTGCAGCTTGCCGTGAGACTCCTTGGTGAACTTGTGGTTCTCCAGGATGTGGTACAGGTCGCGGAAGTTGCCCGTGTGGAAGGCGACCACGGCGCGCGCGCGCAGGATCGACTCGTGTTTGTTGATGGCCTCGCACGCCCCGGGGGCCACAGGCAGCGACCAGAGGAAGCGGCCCAGCCGCTCAATGTCGCCCGTCTCCTCCAGCGTCTCGCAGACGCTGGCCACCTGCTCCGGCGAGAAGTTGAGGGTGGGCAGCTGGAACATGGACAACTCTTCCGGGGGGGCCCTGGAGCCGCCGCCGCCGCCGCCGCCGCCTGCTCCGCCAGCACCGCCGCCTCCCGCACGGTTCCCGCCGCCGCCGCCGCCGCCGCCGCCGCCGCCTCCCTCGCCGCCGCCGCCTCCCGCACCGTTCCCGCCGCCGCTACTCGCCAGAAGTAGGGAGCAGTGGTGAGAATCCGCGAAGTTTGGCAACAAGAAGTGGGAGGAATAGAGGTCTAGGGGGGAGCGGAATACCATGGACTGACCTGAGAGGAGAGGAGAAAATTCAGGGAGAGGAAGAGAGAGGGGAGGAAGAGGAGGAGAGGGGCGATGAGGACCAGGAGGAGGGAGAGGAGAGGGGGGAGGAGGTGAGGGAAAGGAGGGGGGAGCAGAAGGAGGAGGAGGGGGAGGAGGAAGGACGTAAGGGACACCCACACCCCACACACATCCACACACACACACACCCGCGCAGCCACATAGAGAGGGAGGAAGGAGAGCGGCCCGGTGCGCGCGCGCAGAGAGAGAACCCGAGACAGAGAGAGGGAGAGGGAGAGAGAGGAGAGCGAGAGCCAACCACTGCCGAGTCAAGATTCAGCGATTCCACAGCAATCGCCCTAATGACAACAGCCTCATAATATCTCCCCTAAATCCACAGTGAGTGCAGCATTGAAACATTTTGTTTCGCTTTTCTATTGGTCTGCTGCGTGTCGTTGTGGCGTTGCCACGGCAACCACTGCCAATCACTGTCAGCCCTGCCAATCAATACCGAGAACGTAAGGACGGTTTTACCACTTAGCCAGAGGAGGGGGGGAGGGGAGAGGAGGGAATGAGGGAGACCAGGGAGAAAGATTTTTTTTTTTTTTAAATCTTTGCAACTCTTAATCTCGCCACTTCCCCTCCTCCCCCCTCCCCTTCTTTTTTTCTCTGGCTGTCTCTGAGCCTCCTCTTGCCTCTTCCCCAAAGAAGTTGATTCAGAAATTCGAAAAGCTATGGACCTTGAGTAGTTGAAAGAGATGACCAATTACAGGGGAGATTTTGTTGGAAAGCAGGAGTCTCCCCATGCCTCAGGAACACCAGGCGGCTTGCCTGCAAAGAGAGGCCCAGGGCCAGCAGAGCCGGCCGGCAAGGTTTGCACATGGTGTGCACGTCGGGCTGCCTCTTTCTGCCTATGTGAGCACTAATAGTGGAAAGGAAGAAAGGAGAGATGAGATCATGGGGCCAACCACACGCCGATCCTGGCTAAGCAGTCACCAGATCCCAGATTGGAAGAGAGGGCATGTAGCACCTGGGAGCCTGAGCACAGGACCCAGGGTGCTGAAGACGGTTCTGGCCTCCGATTGTGCCCTTTGGTTATATCCATCCTAACTCCCTCAGCTTCAGCCGGACTTTACTCTGCTTCCAGACAAGAAGCCTTGATTTCTCCAATTGCCTTGAATTTTAAAATAGTGGAAATAACAGTACACTTCTTTCCATCTTAAAAAGCAATCTGACTTTTTATTTTCCTCTAGACTTCATCTGACTCCTGGAGTCGTGGAGGAGCTGAAGCCTGGGAGCCCTCTGGACCCTAGGGAGAACCATCTCTCTGCCACCACATATTAGACTGCTCTGGGCCTGCCCATAAGCCCCAGAAGGGCACTGAGACTTTGGAGGCCACCCTGAGAAAGCAGACAAGGCCTGGAAATTGTTTATTTGTCCATGAGTTAATAATGATAATGATGATAATAATAAAACTAAATCTCTATGGGGAAAGTAATATTGCAAGCCTAAAACAGACCCTAAAATGTCCATAGGATGTAGAGGGCCCTCCCTCCCTGAGGCCATCACAGCCCCCAGGCCAGGCGAGGGTGTTAATTCCTAGGTATGTTGCTTTTAAGAAGATGTAATCAGCRTCTTGAGTCGGGCCTCCCTTTGTGAGGTTTCTGTAACTATGGAAGATTTGTCGGGGTCACAGACGTCTTTCCCCCATGCACTGTGTATATTTAGACAGGACTCGGTTTGGTGTTAAAAAGTGTATATGTTGAATGGATTCACACACAGTAGCCAACAATGCCCACATTGTCGGCCCGTGTACAACGCGTATTGAAACGCAGCGCCCAGACTTCAACTAATCTGCCCTCAATAAAGCTGAAATAATTATCCTAAGCTGTCTTTCCAGAAGAAAAATCATTGAGGAATTCAAAACTTTTTTTAAAAAACAGATCTTTTCTGCATTCCGATGCAGATCTGGGGGCGCGGCACCGGGTTTACACCACTTTGGAGATTTCAATGAGGGAGGAGAGAAAAAGAGATCGAGAAAATTTAAATGGGAAACCTAACGTCACTGGGGCCACAATTGCCCCAGGCCCTAAACCCCAAGCTCAGGCCCTGCTTGGGCCGTGACTCCTGCATCACCAGGCCTAGGAGAGCCCAGAAGTGAGAGTCTCATTGAAGGTTCTAGGACACCAAGGAGGTTCTGGGTTGGGCGAAGGGCCCTTACCGGTTCAGTCAGTCAAAGGCAGCTGGGGGTAGCGAGTCCTAAGCTTCCCTACAGGGACAGTGAAATACTCCTCCAAAGAGGAAGACCCGACAAGCCCCACTTCGGGGGTCTTTTCCTCTCTTTCTGTCTTCTGCCTAGCTGTGAGTGCTTTTCTGCTCAGCTTCGAAGCTCTGGGCGGTYGTTCACTGTGGGCCCAGAAAGAGCCCAAAGGTTGGGACACAAAAACAGACACTTCATCTTTTCTTCCCGATCCCTTTCTCTTGTTGGGGAAGGATTATAGACTGAAAGGTGGGAGGGGGAAGGGGCAGGAGGAGGAAGCGGGGGAGGAAGGAATGAAAAAAGGGAGGGGAGTGGGTATTGTGCCGCGTGTGGGGGGAGAATTCCTACGGGTGGGTTTCCGAATATTGTGTTCAACTTTTTGAAAGCAGCTCGTGACCCCGAAACTACATCCCCCGGAGCCGGGGACCCAGGCGCCGGGCGGGCGGGTGAACCCGACCAGTCCCACCCCATCTCCGCAACCCCCCGCCTCCGGGTGGGAGCGACCTGGCCTCTCCCTGCTGCTGCGGTGCCAGCCCCCAGAGGAAAGCTGGGCAGGGGCCGCGGGCTCGGCCGAAACGCTGACATCGAAAACCCCTCGCCACTCAGGGAGAATGGAGGAAAGCGGGGTCGAGATTCCACTCAGCGTCACCCCTGCCCCCCAGCCTCTGCCCGGGCATCTGCCAACCCGTTGCACCCTGCCTGTTCGGGTGGCGGTCGCAGCTCCGGAGCGCAAAGCCGAGAGGAGGGCGGCGGCAAGGCACGCATCTTTGTGCGCCGGGACCCAGCCGGGCGCCGCGGGGCGGGCAGCAGACCCCGACTGTCCGCGCCTTCCCACAGAGCCCAGCTCGGCGCGGCCCAGCGAGCCCTCCTCGCGGCCCTGCTGCCTCCAGCGCCTCTAGGCACTGGCCGGAAGCACCACGCCCGCCGCCTGAAGCCAGTAAGTTGAGAGTCCTGAGAGCTGGGCGGGGAGGCGGGGCGGTGGGTCCTTCGCGCGGATGGCGGGAGAGGCTCCGGGCGGGACTGGGAGCGCAGGCTCCGCAAGGTCTCGGTCTAGGGTGGTTGGATGTGTGTGTTTGGGTGATACAGTGAAGCACCGGAACGTCCCCTCCCACATCCCTAGGAGTTGGGCACTGGGGAAATGGGAGCAGAGGGACTTCGGGTTTCAGGGCCCACGCCGCCTTTCTCGCAGGTCTGGGGACCTCATTGAGCAGCGCGAAGGCCGGCAAGTGAGCCTGGGGAACTCCTGGAGGGGGTGAGGTGCGGAGAGTGACTGCACCCCTAGTCGCTCAGAGCGGCAAGGCCGGGCTGGATAGGCTCGGACAGTCGGGGTCTCTAGGTCTCTCCCTTGCCCTCTCACTGTTCAAACTCTAAGATCTGAGACTTGGTGAATCTGGGACTGTCACTGGTACAGGCCAAAGTCACCTGTGCTGAATTGTCGCCACCATCCCCTCCTCAATGGCGATCAGGGCGGCCAGCTGACGGACAGCGTTCAGTTGGTGCAAGAGGGAAAGGGGACGCTTGTACTGCAGCGAGTTCTCTCTTGGCCTCCAGGGCATTTATTTACAACTGTCAACCCTACCCCAACACTGGGAAAGTCCCAACTCCACCAGAAAGCGTACCCTAGGGTTCCCCACTCTCTTGCTCCCAGTTACAGGGAAAGCCAAGGAGTTTGAAGGCCTCCAGGAGAGGAGGATCCGGCGGGCTGGGGTTACTTGCACCCTATTCGGCCTTAGTTTGCTCTAAACAGCAGACCCAGGTGGCCAGGAGGAATTCCTGCTGGGGGCAACGCCCCTTCTGGCTCCCTGGACATCCAGAAGTGGGGGCTGGCAGTGTGGCCTGCGGTCTGGGCCTCACCTCAAGCTGCAAACTGAGGCTCTTGGCGAATACCGCCAGGGAGGGCGCAGGGGAGCGCAGCGCGCTGGCGGGGAGGCCCGCGAAGCCCTTCAAGGACCCCGATTACTTTCCTTTGAAAAACAACAACAACAACAACTGCTCCCTCCCCGCGCCCCCGCCCCCCCCCTTAGCCTCCGGGGACCCGCGCTCCAAGCAATTGTCGCCCAGGACCATAAACACAGCTCAGTTGCCTCAACTTTCTCGGTGCATAAAAGTTCCTGGCGTGCGGGGAAATTTGAATATTTGATCAGCCCCTTTGAGTGACCCTCATTAGCCTGGCGCCCTGCTAAGGCCCCGGCATTGCAAGAAAGCTGCTGGGCCAGGCATTTGTACGCCTTGTTAGCGCCGCTTAATGAACCAGCCCCGACGGCTCAAAGGCGGCTTCAGAGGCCGGCAGCGCGCACCTCTCGGCACCCCGCTCTGCCTAATGAGCCCCACCACCCGCTAAAGACCCTTCCACCCCCCACATCCTCAAACAAGAGAAGTTTGGCTCTGTCTTGGGCTGCAGCACCTCCCACTGCCAGGCCTAGGAGGGTGGGCACAAACCCAGCCTCTCTGGTTGATCTAGTCCCAAGAGAAATGACTAGAAGACTTGGGGGATAGGAGCCATACCGGTTGTGCCTTTGAAATGGGTGGGGGCAGATTTTGCAGCCTTAGGAATCTAGCCTAGGGAATGCACTGCCACCCTCTCCCAAGAGGGCCAACTACAAATCAATTAGTCACCCCAACTCCTTAGAGGTGCATCTGGACTAATGTTGGAATGGCAGCCCAGGGGAGGGTCAGCTTTTCATCCTCCTCCCTCCCCAAGTTCCTTTCCCACCAATCCTCTCCTGACAACTAGAACTAGGGTCGGTATTTGAGAAAGGGTGAGCAGACCCAATTCCCCCAATCTACCACTGCCCCCACCATCCACACAGACCCAACAGTCAAATGTTGTGACAGTTGGCAGCAGGGAAAACAGGGCACTACAGCCTATGCTAACTGCCCACATTCCCTCCTCCCCTCTCCCAAGTGCCTTCTCTGGTCTCTCTTTCATCATATTTTATTCCTGAAG